CCCTACAAATCTAATCCGTAGATAGCACTGAAAAATTGCATTTTTGTGAAGTTAAGAGGCCTATATCGGGTGAATCATGACACTTTTGGGCCATGCCAGATTTAGTGGATATGATGAAAGTAAATCGATTAACTTCTTACCAATTTCCAATCAATTTTTTTTAGTATAGTAGAGATAGTGGAATACTATAATATATGCCTAAAGCACGTGACTCCGCGCTTTACGCCCTTACCTAAGAGCAACTTGGTGAGATAGTTACTATTGAAGATGCTCTAACGTTGGGTAACGCACGGAGTACTCACGTGGCATCAACACGAATAAAAGAAAAAAATTACGAAACGTGTCAAAACACATGACATAATTAGGGAAGTGAAAAACATATAACTTGGACATCGTACCAAAAACATCGAGAACACCAAACAAACATGAATGAGAGAGAAAGAAAGAAACATACCACTGAGAAGGACGAGTTCTTTAGCGTTGAGTCCCTTCTGCATGAACTTAGCCTTAAGTATCTCAATCGAGTCATTCACCTCTGGCATGTCCTTAGCCAGCGACATGTTTGAAACCCGGCCGTCTCTCCGTCCAGTTGGCACCTCATACGCCGGCCCATTCGCCTGTACGATGCATTACTTTATATATCTCAACTGGGAAGAAAATTAGAGAAAACGATCGAATTTGTGCTTTCTCTTATTTATTATTTACCAAAGAAATGGCATCACGTGCAGCCAAGGCAACAATGTCTGAACACGAGACAACACCGGGGCATGCAGCTTCAAGCTCGGCTTTGGCAGCTTCTACTATCTCAAATCCTCTAACACCTTGATGCCCAAATGCATTCTTTTCAGAGATCGGTCCATTGTCCACGAGGATTGAGCCGTCACATCCCTGAACGTGTGTGGTTAAATCTCTAAAAGAAAGCAGCGATAGGAGAAAACACAGAGGAGGAATGTGCATTGTACCTCAACAAAGCAGTCGTGGAAGTGGAGCCGTAGAAGTACGGCTGGGAGGTTAGGGTCCGAAAGAGCAGCTCCTGAGACGACTCTGCTAATGATTGACTCAGCTTGAGGACATGCGTTAGAGTAGAACCCGACTTTGAGATCAGCAAGAGAGATGCCGACTAAAACCATAACCAGAGACAAAGCTAGACTAACCTTAGTCTTTGTCCACTCCATTTGTGCTTTTAGTAAATCAACTCAACATAGAATGAGATTAC